CCAACACTCACAACATGGCCTTGGGTGTTTCTGCCGTGTCCTCTTTACTTTTCAAATGTTCATTTATCAAACATTATAAGTGCTGATATTTGTAGATCCGCAAATAGCTAATATAGGCTTTATTGTATTACTTGCTTTTGCCTTGTAGCCTTTTATGTAATATGGGATGTGAGACAGTATATTTTAGAGCCTTAACCACAGAGAAAAACACAACGATTTCAGAAGTATTAATTTAGTCAGTTAATTGTGGTGTGACATTGTTAAACTGGTAAGCATTGCCCACGTTAGTGTTCTGTACTGGCAGCTACTGCGGCTCTTTATAGGATGTCAAGAAACTGTCATTAAAAATTGAATTTTTCTATGTAAGAGACAAGATTCAAGACTTGTTAGAAGCTTGTATAACTAAATTGTAGATGAAGTCATTTTATGCTACTCAGAAAAGATGCTAATGACATAAGTAAAAAAGGGTGAAATAAATAAGAACCTGTGGCTGGGATGTGGCATCTTATTAACTTTAATTTTTGACTGATAAAAAAAAATGTTAATGCAAACTGCTTCCCCTCAGGTAACAGAAAAGTCCATTTCATTTCTAAATCAAGTATAGTAAGCATGAAGCCCATGACTGTATGCAGGACAGATTCACCCAAAAGGTGCCATGGGAAAATTTAAATTTAAGGTAAACCTCGAAATGTTTACCTGGTGTCCCTGAGATTTTGCTGCTTCATCATACTAAGCAATTGTAATGAAAACAAAGAAACCAAAGAAAGAGAGTGGTCGAGTTTGACAAAGAATTAGTCTTGGCATCAGTGTTGAGACATCTTGCAGACTTTCACAGTGCACACTGACAAACATGGACAGGACCTCACATACAGTGCAGACGGAGAGTGTAAGATCGTGACTTGCTGTTAACCACATTTAACCTGTTAAATCACATGTATCCGCCTGAATACTGCTAAAAGCTTCATGTAAATATAATCTGTGCAGACCACTGCTGCACACAAACTCATCTACTAGTCAAAGACTGCAGTAACAACCACTTCTCCAACTCCAGGCCAGATCGGGGCACTTCAGACACAGCAGTGAGCTATTTCTTCATATATACATCTAAATTTAGAGATAAGTGGGCAGCAAACTCAGAGACATGATGGCTCATAATTCTACAAAGCCTCAAACTTGAACACAATGATGCAACAGACTTCGAGTGCAATATTTTAAGCTTGACGACCAAAAAGTATAAAGCTCTTTTCATAACTATAGTCATCAGTTTTGTGCATTCATATTGTGAGACTGGAACGACAATGATAAATTATTTATTCAATCTGATTTAATTCAGACACTGAATTTATCATTAATCCATTTCTAATTTCTATCTCAGACGCCATAAACAATTTATATCACAAAATCAATGTTAATAAAACCAAACGGAGAAAAGACTAATGTGTTTATGTAAAGCTCTTTTTTGAATTCAAACTGAGAATAAATTACATTTCATTGGTGCTGTTAACAGCAGTTATACATAACATTTTAAATAATTCAACAACAGAAACAAGATGACTGTGACTCTCTACAAAGTTTTTATTGCAACCATAAGTAGACAAAAATGAAAAGAGCTACTAGGTTATTCTGTCAACCTAAAACTAGGTTTGATAAATCATTTTCATTTTCATCAGAAGAAATGACCTGAAATCAATTTGTGTACTAAAATGACTGAATACTAGGGGTGGGGGAAAAAAATCGATACTGTGTAGTATCGTGATATTTTGTTTGCTAATAATGTATCGATACAGGGACAGCAGAAATCGATATTTTGTTACAAAAAAAGTTTTTGTGGACTGGAACATGCTCTGACTTCAGAGCATGTTGATCAGCTCCTTTTTCTGAGCAAGAATCCTGACATTCCTTCACTGTCCAAATGTGTTTAACTTGTTTTTTGGCAGCAATAAACACGACAGTTTACTTATTTTAATTTAAGACATGTTTTATTTTAATTAAGTTTAAAACTTTTTTTATTTAATGTAAAATTATATTTTGTTTTAATTTATTTTCAAATTCTTCAGTTGCTGAATGGGCTGCATAGTTTTCATAAATTGCATAGTTCAGAATAGCTATAATTGTACCAGATGGTTGCACTCAGTTAAGTTGGACTAGACTGTAATACAAACCGTTCAGTTTGTCAACAATAAAACTGACTGAAATGAGAGAAAGACTGAGTGCGAGGCTTTGATATTAGATAAAATGAATATTGATAAAGTTTACCTTTATGTACAGAATCTGAATATCGCAAAATATTTTAAAAAATTGCAATTCTATCGTATCATGCGTTAAGTATTGTGATAATATCGTATCGTGGGATGTATGGTGATCCCCACCTCTACTGAATACACAGAGAAAGTGTATTTAGTTTTATTCTTTGTCAGTACAATTGGACAACACAAATCTATTGAGATGTCTAAATTACTCAGAATAAGGGGTATTAAAAATATTTTGTCTTTGTACTATAACAACGTTGTTGATTTTCCTAAAACTAGTCTCGGACAAACACCATCCATATTATAGTCATTTTAAAAAATAAAACTACCACTGACTTTTTTCAGGGGAAAAAACTAAAATAAAATAAAAAACTGAAGCAGATTTCTGTCCCGTCTTCACCCCCAACCAGTCACCAGATGGAAACCTGAGCCTGGTTTTCCTGGAGGTTTCTTCCTGTTGAAAGAGAGTTTTTCCTTCTCACTGTCGCCAAACCACTTGGTCATAGAGGGTCATATGTTGGGGTTTCCTCTGTTTTCCCTGTATTATTCTTTTGTATACAAATAAAGCACTGTGAGGCAACTGTTGTTGTGATTTTGTGATACATAAATAAAACTGAATTGAATTGAAAAAGATTTGGCACAGTAATGGTGATCTTCTTTTAAAGAAGATAGACACCTACTGTTCAACTTTTAGCAATAATATAAGTATGATGGGCGAGTCAACAATTTTCAACCAGAGTGAAGTGTCTCAACAAACTACTCAAAGAATTCTTACAGTAAAGACTTGTGATTGTCACTACTGTGAATCTAAATATCCACCTGTTGCTACCATCAGATCAAAATGACTTTGGTTTACTACCAAGCTAGTTGCCTATTTGATGATTGTTTCTACTTAGCTCTTGTTATAGTAACTTGTTTTGGCAGTGACACCTGGTAAGTTGTTCCAGTAATACACGTACTTTTCGCAGTAATATATTATGTAAGGTATTACAAGTCAGATTTTCGGTTTTTCCAATTAAGTCCATAATATTTTTGCATGTTTTTCACTTAATTTTACTGACATACCTGTTTTTCAATTACTAATCAAACTACACCAGCTTTAACCAAACCAAACAAAACCAACAAACTAGCTCATTAGTGCAAATAGTCTAATAAAATTACTTCCTCAACAAAACAGAGGAATAAACTTCTTGACGGGTCAGTTTCTGGACTGGTCAGTTTCAGTTTTCTCAAATATTTATTTTTCAATCCTTAACATTAGCATTTTGGCTGCTACAACGTTTGGCTTTTAGCCCCAAAAGTGACCATACTGGGAAGAGAGGATAAGGGTTAAGTTAACAGCTATGGCTAGAAGCTGAAAGCATCCACTGAATGAGTGCAAAACACAGATACATAAACCAGCTAATTAGTATAAAGTAACCGACTAATGAAATAGTCAGATGTGCTATACCACACAGCAGCCCATATTACATGTCCGATAATGTCATTAACTTCTCCAACAGCACAAACATAGTCAAGAGGTCCAATTCAGTGACTTGAATTAGTGATCATTTTTCAATTTTTTCAATATTCAATATTTGTTTCACAAATTCCTTTCCAAGATTTCAATAAAATTGAAAAATAACACCAAAGTAACTGCAGTTTTCCGCATCTTAAAATGTTTGGCAAACAGGAATAAAAACTTGCAAAGTGCCTGATGTGGTCCGCGAGCATATTAACAATACTAATACTATCAAAATCACTGCCTTGCACTTGGATGGAGGCAGGAATAAGAGCAAGATAACTTAAACACGGGGCAATTCTTCACTCTACTACAGGCAGAGAGGAAATGATTCTCACAGGGTAACCTGAGCCTCTACACATTATGGCAAATCGTTCATGCTTTATTATAAAATGTGAGTGTTTATGTAATGTAAACTGAATTATACTGTCATAAAATGCAAACAGGGAGTGAGATGAAACCTCCGAAAGGCTCCTTGTTTATTTATGATAGCTGAGCAGCCCTTCTGGAGGACATATTGTCAGCTGAAATCCCACTCAGCTCCTTGTGGCTCAGACATAAGTGGCTCGATGATCAATACTCGCACTCAATTCTGAAATTCCTTATTTATAAAAACAGAGAAGCACAAAGGTGCCAGGTTACCTCCACTCCGCTGGTTTCCACGGGAACAAACAGGCAGCTTTTTTAAACCTTCAGTTCCTGGAAATCCTCCAAAAGCAGCCCGAGTTTACTCTCCTCAGCAGACGACGGTTGCTGAGTCATTACTATGTGACCTTACCGCCACCTCCAGCTACTGTTTGAACTTGAACGTCGGACTATTTCACACAATCCAGAGCCACCGATCTTCTGCGAGCGACAACTAGAGCTACTTTCTGCGATAAAACAACAATATCGACTATCAGCGTACTACAATGAGCACAACGCCACCGCCTCCGACTCGGAGGAACGCTGCTCGACCTGCACAATGAGTAATGAAGACGTATCTGCCTCTCCAGCAGCCCCTGCACCCGCAGACAGCGCTGCACCTGCGAGGACTCACTCTGCAGCCTTCCTTTGCAAGCTGGCATGTCTCAGTTTGAGCGAAAGCATTAAATGCGCAGCATTAAGCAGCCATTTACTTTTGCCAAAGCACATGCATGTCTTTGCTGCACGGCAATTATCCACGCAGCATCACGCTGATGCCACGGTGCGTAGTTGCCCACTCAAAACTCAACGCTGTAACGCTTGCATGGATCATTTCGCGGACTTACCTGCGTTTTCACAGAGCAGTCTGCACAGAGGAGAAAGAGCTAGAAGCGGGAGATGAGGCGACTATAGGACGCAGCAGCGGGGCTGGTTCACTCTATAACCTTTACTGGAGACACGCGAGGCAGCCTGCTGGATCTGCCAAAGGATGCTCAGGCTGACCACGTGACTGGGGAGGACAACCAGCCTATCTCAAGTTACCGATGGACACAAAATTTAGAGCTTAATCTCAGAAGAGTCAGAGCAGCAGGCAAAAGCAACAAAAAACCTCTTCAGTAAACAATTCCTACGAGACAGATGACCAGCTGTTTAAATATATATATATATAAGTGGAAGTATAACAATATGCCTCAACACATGTGGATTAATCATGCTGGCATAACTACATCAGGAATAGCATTATCAGAAAATCTGGAGGAGTAGTTCATAGTTTTACACTATGCCAAGTCACCCTCGAACCTTATGTGTGGCACCCGTGACCTGAACAGTTTGTGTTTTTCAGGTCTGTACTCATGAACTGCCGGTTTTGCATCATCATCATCATCATCATTATTGTTGTTGTTGTTGTTGTTTCCAAAAATAAAAATAAAATCAATACAGAAAAGAAGGAAAAAGGGCAAAAGAATCATAACTTATGAAACTAAACCATATCAAGAAAAATAAGGGGGATTTCAGATAGACTGGACACTATATGTATATTTTTATATTATGTATAATTCAGTTTCTCTATGCATGTATAAACATAACACGTGTGTCATCCTTTTACGTTTATAAAACTAGAATTTTTTTTAAGTGATTTTACTAAGGTGTTTATAATTTCACGCACATCCATCATCATCCTCATTTTGTGCATCAGTTTTCTACAAATTGTACTTGTGGGTTTTTTCTAATTATTTTTCTAATGAAATCTTTTTTTTTTCTTCTCCACACTTTTGTTATTTTTCATTATGGTGTTATTTTTTTTAAAAAAAAATCCTGATCTTGACTCTACTCTGCAGGTCTTAACTATGGTCTTAAGAATTCCAAAAAGTTGATTCTATTCATCTGGACGTAGTGTTTTCAGTTCATCGTTTCGTCACTCATCCAAGTGACTTCTTCAGTCTCAGCTGACTGCAGGTTTCCCCAATCTTATAAACAGTACATTTGCACAATAACTGAAACCAGCCCACCAAATGAACAATGGGCTATGAGGTCAGTCCCTTGATCATTAATATACAAATTGTCAAGACCATTGATCAAAGGCCATGAGTACCATTCACAGAGAGTTGGGGAACGGTTGCAATCACAGCATTGTGAGATGTGGTCTTAAGAACTTCTAGTCTTGATTGTGGATGCTGGATCTACTAGCCCTAAACTAAAACCACCATTACTGCCTCTACAAGTATGACATGGCCTACTTAATGAACATAACCTTAAATTCTGTAGCTGCTTTTACATATAACCTTAGACATAAGAATAGCCACATACACAACTAACAGAAAAAGTCCCAGCCTTTTGATCTATGACAGATGATTTGTGTTAAATTATTAAGAATGACTAATGTAGAATATGAGATATTAATAGAACAAAATAGAAATAGTAGAATAAAAGACCACAGTCAGATTAAGTGTCAAAGAGCACATCACTTCATCATTAACAAGATTACAGCTTTGTCGCTAAGTATTGAATTGACTGAAGTCCACTTACTGTAATAAGTGTTAGGACCCCCATAGGCCCCAAGAGTCTGTGCTACTTCCAATAAGCAATATTGTTGCTGCATACTGCCCTCTGGCTTGCTTAGTGACCCAGGTTTTTAAAGTCTGGTGCTGAGACTCGGCATATTGGTATGGTATGAGCTCTTTCTAATCTGCAATGGCTGGTAATACCCCACATTTATGTGCACGCCACAGACATAAACAAAACAAAATCCTAATGCTTTCATACTAATGCTCAGTTTCTTCTAATTTTGGACAACTTGACAAAGAAGTAATTAATTAAAGGTTCTTTGGCTGCTTGGATTCCACCATTTAAGCCATTATCCAGGTAATTATTATAGCTCAGTATCTCTCTCTGTGCTGCTTGTTTTTCCAACGTGACCTCGTGTGGTTTGGCTGAGTTACATTTTGCTACCATTCAAGATAATGCTACTTTTTACAGCTTTATCAAGTCTGATTTAAGAACTGTTACTTGGTATGGTTTGGTGCATGACTTTATTGAATATTTCTCTTATTTTAAATCATACCAATATATTTTAACAGCTATTTCTAGGTTTAAAAACTCTGAATCTATAGCAGAATATGTTCATTCCAAATACCAAAACCTGTTCCTGAATCTGCCTCATATACACTTGTTCAAAAGTCAGATTTTCTGCAAGCTATGCACCAAATGGGTTCTGCCAGTTATGACAGTCCACACTGCCAATGCTCACAAGCTCTGAGCTCTGTCCAGTGTAGGATAAATCCAGTAATAAAAATATTTGCTATAGTGTGTGGTCTACATTAGAGTACTTTAAATTTTCTTCTTCACTGTGTTTCTAGTTTTATTTTTTTTTTCAATCCTTTCAGAGAAACACACATACATGCTAATTTATTAGAACCTTTATCTTCTTTCATATTTTCTTTCATCAAATATATTAACTGTCACAGTAATGGATGCTCATCACAACACAATTTCAAATAATGAGTGTATGCACAAGTAACCCCTGTGAACCAAAAGCTCAGGCTTCAGTGCTCGTAAAAAGAGAGCAGCTAAAAATATTTATATTTTATTACAACAATGTTCAGTACAAGATTAAAAATAAAGATTATTTTGAACTGTGAGTCCAACGACAAAAAATGGATCTGGAAATTAGCTTTAAAAGCCCCTTTAAAAATATTTGCCATAAATTGACTATGTGCACGAGACAATGCTAACTTCCTGGTTTGAGACCGGATGTGGGGTTGTGCATTTCCGGTAGCTTTACTTTGCGGTCAGTCGCTACTGCCAAGATATACTCCAAAATCATGTCCAAAACTCGAAAACGGAAAGATTGCGTTAAGTTACAAAGAGCAGAAGGTGGGAACACTCACCACTGTTGTGTCATAAAAAAATCTAATGATCAATTTTGACGTTTAAAGCATTTAGATCTATCAGTTGTTTACATCACTCAACACAAGCAGAACTGCATTACTGCATGCAGAAGACACATCGTCCACATTCAGAAGTATCTCTGTATAATGACTGGTCTTATGATTTAAGCAGGCAAATGTTCAGCATTCAAACTACAGGTGAAGAATAGTCAAACCAGATGTTTCCCCGTTATGTTGATATCAGCTAGTCAAGTACACACCTACACAGCATGTTAACAAACCGTGAAAAAAGCCACACAAAAAATGAATGGTAAGGGTTTCTATACATTAGTATTTACGAAGGGTATGTTGTGACTTATCTTCAAAATTACAGCGGTCCCTCGCTATAACGCGGTTCACCTTTCACCTCGCTGTTTTTTAGTGCAAGTTTGCATGCTTTTTTTTACGTCACATTGTGTCCTGCGTCCTGATCACTGCAGACGATGTCCTCCATGACATCTCTCCTGTACAGTACAGAATCGCTGCATCGATCGCTAGCAGTGTGACTCTGAAGTGCAGTACTGTATGTCCACGATACGTTTTGCACCGTCAAAAAATAAAATTGGCTACTTGATTTCACCGATCGCTGGTTATTTTTAGAACATAACACCCGCAATAAACGAGGGACAGCTGAGAAATATAACATTTGAATCCCTTTTCTCTTTTGCTCTGAGGCGCAGGGGAAAAATATCGACAAGTCGATGAACATCATTTACAGATATATTGGGTAAATGCCCGAGACATCTATAGAAATGTAAATCGCCGCTTGATTCATTCATTTGCTTAACTTGTTTTGGACCGTAAACCAGGCGCGAATAGGACACCGGAAACAAAGCTCCCCACAGGAGTTTCCGCACCGGAAGTAGCATATGCTAACGTGCACATAGTCAATTCTGTGTTAACAGCATATGTTTCCCTCTACTGGTCTACAGGGTGCATAGCACTTATGATGACCTGACCTAAAAAAATGCCCAACCACACATTCAAAAATATGAAATAAAGAAATAGATAAATCAAATTGTATCTATAAGGACTTATAAGGCAAAAAGATATATTTTACTCGAGTCTAGAAATGAATAGCAACAAAAACTGACACAGAAACACAGCTAACATTACACCTGTAACATCACGTTTTAGAGTAATCAGTCTAAGATGGTATACTGTATATATTTTTGCATGCTTGTGTGATTTGTTAGATATGAAAAAATAGCAGCTGGCTAGAAAAGCTGCATATAGTCAGTTGTCCACATGTCGAAATGCATGGATCAGCAGCTGGTATAAACACAGATGCAGTCTGACTGAAGGAGAGAGGAAGCAGTGTTTATAGCACGGCCTCATCATCTCTAGATGGCATCCACTGCTTGTCAGTTGCAGTTATACAGTGAAACAATAAAACAGCTGGACACTTAAGTTCAACAGTACAGCTACATGGAAGCATTTATGTTTAATATGCAGCGGTGCAGTTCAGCATGAGGACACTGGAGTATCTCTAGTAGCAATCAAGATTTTCTCAGTTGCAGTAAAATAAAAGCTGAAGATGCCTTTTCAGCTTCTTGGGTGGAAGAGGAAAAGTAATGACACATTACAGTGACAACGAGTGTCATACAAAAATAATCACTACAGGTAAAATAAAAAATAAAAATAAAATGAACGAGTGAGCTTTGTGAGGCTGCTATATGGGATCAGTCCACTAGAGGGTAGCCTAACTTTAATTATACAAACAGTTGTGCTTGTGCATGATGCGCTTTAACCCCAATGCAGTTACTAAAAGCTGCTTAAAGCTTATGAGCAATAACAATAAAAATAAAGAAAGAAGGAAACAATTATTATTAACATGAATTTGTGGCAATTGGTTATCAAGGTACTGGTTACCCTGTCGAGATGGGAAGTTGGATTATATGAAAGGCTCTTTTATGAGTGGCAGGACACTCTGGTAATGTTTGAAGTTCAAAGATGTTTAAGTCTGTAAGACAGACGCTTCCTAGCTTCCGGCTCATCGAGTGGAACCGTTTCCACAGTTTGTTAAACGGAGAAGGAAAAAGAGGGAAAAAAGTGTCTTTTTCCATTGCAACATGGATGTGCCGGGCTTCCCGCTGTGAGTTCATTTAGTTTGATGAGGAAAATGATTTTACACATTAAGAAAAGAGAACATCTAAGAATTGTTAGATGTTATACATTAAAGCAGAGTTAAAAGTTCAGTTCTGGATCGGTAGAAACAGATCCTTCACGCAACACATGTGGTGACCGTACAGGGGATGTAATCATTTTCCTAATGTTACCTCAAACTGACTTTCTCAGGCGCTCTTGAAGGATGTTTCATTGGCTCGTCACTACCCGAGGCTTGGATCTCTCGGCTGTTTGTCAAGTGATTACAAGACTTCCAAAGGGAAATGAGACTTTAAGGCCACCAGTCATTTATCTGACTCTGTTCAAACACCGTCCTTTTTTTGACGCACAGTAACAGCTCGTGCTGTACCCCACCACTGCAAACCAAAGCCTGCTCTGCCTTATCT